CAAATGGTAACAATAACTCAGGTGGTGGGAAGAAACCGTACTCTAGCGGTTTCGTCAAGAAAAAAGAAGGAGAGGTAAGCAATACCTCCGATGATAAAGGGAAAGCTATTGTACAGGTTCCGTATTACCAAACCCCTGCTGTTACTCCACAACAACAGTATGCACCACCACGAAACTATCAACAGAACCAAAGGCCCCAGGGGCAGAGGGGTCAACAAAGGCAGCAAAGGTACCCCGAAAGGAGGATCGATCCAATCCCGATGTCGTATGCTCAATTGCTTCCACAATTGCTAGCCGGTCAGTTAGTACAACTTCGAGAGTTAGCTCCTCCACCAGCAGAACTCCCAAGGGGTTATGATGTTAATTCACGTTGTGAATTCCATTCAGGCGCCCCGGGCCACTCGATCGAAAATTACAAAGCTTTAAAATACAAGGTGCAATCTCTTTTAGATGCCAAGGAGTTAAGCTTCGCTCCTATAGGCCCTAATGTTCAGAATAATCCTATGCCTCCCCACCATGGAGCTGCTGCCAATGCTATTGGGTTTGACAATGACCATGACTTAGTGACTCAGGTTGAAGAGGTTCAGATGTCGATGGCAGTCCTAAGAGAGCATCTTTTACAATAGAAAGTTCTACAAGAGCTTCATAGTTTTTGTTTGAAATGCTCATCCAATCCAGACGAGTGTGACGATTTGAAAAATTCCATTCAAAAACTGATGGACGAAGGGGTTGTTAGAGTTGAGAAAGTCGTTCCCGAAGGTGATGTCGCTATTTTGGAAATTCCGTATTATCTGGCCGATGTTCAGAGGAATGCTTCAAGAGTTCCATTGGTTATACAGGTTCCAATGCTCCCTGCACTAAACCTGAATCCGGTTGCTCTCCCGCCAACCCAAGCATCAACGTTTCCAAATTCTATTCCCGATCCATTAACTGATAACAGGGAAGTGCCGTGGGAATATAATGCCGTTTACATTCGGGGAAAGAAAGTTGTTTGTCCGTCGATTGAAAATAAGGATGTAACCAACATTACCGGGACTAGTAGAATAACTCGAAGTGGGAGAGTCTTCGCTCTTACTCCACCACCTCCTGAGGAAGCTATCAAAGAGATTCCTGTGAAAGATAAAGGGAAACAGGCAGTTAATGATTCTCCTGGGACGTCTTTTGAACAACAAGTGGAGCAGTTAATCAGGGTAATCAAGAAGAGCAATTTCAAGGTGGTTGACCAGCTGAATCAGACGCCTGCAAAGATCTCAATCTTATCCCTCCTCCTGTATTCCGAAGCTCATCGAACCGCCTTGATGAGAATTCTACACGGTTCCCATGTAAATCCTGAGATCTCTGTGGCCCAATTTGAAGGGGTTGTTACAAATATCTCCGCAGGAAAATGTCTAGGCTTCAGTGATGATGAGCTCCCTCCTAAGGGCCGGGCTCATAATAAGGCGCTGCATATTTCCATCAGGTGCTTAGATACTGTAATGTCTCGGGTCTTAGTAGACACTAGGTCTTCTTTGAACGTGATGCCTAAGCATACTCTGCTCAAGCTAAACATGGACGAGGTGATGATGAAGCCAAGTATGCTAACAATCAAAGCCTTTGATGGGTCGAGGAGATCTGTAGAAGGAGAAGTTGACTTACCCATCAAAATTGGCCCCCACGTGTTCTACCTGTCGTTCTATGTCATGGACATTCGTCCATCTTACACTTGCTTGCTGGGACGCCCGTGGATCCATCTGGCAGGGGCCGTTACTTGAGCCCTGCACCAACGTTTGAAGTTCATTGTCCAAGACAAGGTCTTCATTATTGGCGGAGAAGAAGATGTCGTGATTAACAATGTTACTTCCTTCCGTTATGTCGAAGTAGACGGAGAAGTTCATGAAACCCCTTTTCAGGCCTTGGAAATCGTTTCTGTTGACAGAGTCCCCACCATGCTGGAAAATGCGCAGAAGTCTAGAGTTCCGATGGTTTCCTTGAGTGATGCCAAAGCTATTGTGGAATCTGGAGTCCCTAATGAAGACTGGGGCAAAGTGATAGAGGTGCGCGAAAAGCAGGACAAGTCTGGACTTGGGTTCAGGTCCCCGTTTTCAGACCATGTTGGTACGAATCCAATTATGCTCAAGGGAAAACAAGTTCCTCCGCTTTCAAAGGTATTTGTTAAGTACGGTCCGGAGGCTCAAGGGCATATCCATGCAATTAATGATGAAGACGATGCAGATATGGCTCAGTACATCTACCAGATTGCACCTGATCAAGAGCTCGGCAATTGGACTGCCACTGATATTACCGAAGTGGTTTTCTTTGACATGTAATGTTCTTGTTTTATATAAGTTGCATGCTTTTGCCTGAAGCATGTTGACGACTTGTGAAAAGGGCCCCTCATGTTTCTATGTTTGTTTAAAAAGTGAATAAAATGTCATTTTTGCATACAATTTTCGCTCTCTATCTTTTCTTATTTTCGTAAAAATAAAATGGCAATGTTTTTCTAACTCTTTAACCATTTTCCAATTCGCATCCATATTCTAAAATAAGGCATGATTCATCAAATCATGCAGGTCTGCCTCAAATTCCATAAAAAACGGTGATGTTACAGTTCCTTGCACCAATATCCTTGGAAATCCGAATGACCAAGCCGATGAGGGTAGTGGGGAAGATTGTGAAATTCCGGAAGAATTGGCAAGGCTGTTGAAACAAGAAGAGAAAATGATCTTGCCTCATCAAGAAGCCATTGAAGTCATCAATATTGGCACTGACGCAGTAAAAAAGGAGGTCAAAATAGGGGCCGCTTTGCAAGATAACGTAAAGAAGGGGTTGATTGAGCTTCTCAGAGAATACTCTGACATCTTTGCCTGGTCGTATGAAGATATGCCTGGTCTTGATACGGATATAGTCATGCACCACTTGCCACTCAAGCCAGAATATCCTCCAATAAAGCAGAAGCCAAGGAGAACTCGTCCAGATATGTCTCTCAAAATCAAAGAAGAAGTTGAAAAGCAGTTGAACGCAGGCTTTTTGTTGGTATGTGAATACTCAGATTGGATTGCCAACATCGTACTTGTCCCTAAGAAAGATGGAAAGGTGCGCATGTGTGTAGATTATCGAGATCTGAACAAAGCAAGCCCAAAAGACGACTTCCCATTAACACACATCAACGTATTGGTTGATAATACGGCTCAGTCCTCAGTTTTCTCCTTCATTGATGGTTTTTCAGGATACAATCAGATAAAGATGGCCCCGGAAGACATGACAAAGACGACATTCACTACTCCATGGGGTACTTACTGTTATAAGGTCATGCCTTTTGGCCTCAAAAATGCTGGTGCAACATATCAGCGTGCCATGGTGACGCTTTTCCATGATATGATTCATAAAGAGGTCGAAGTGTATGTTGATGATATGATCGCGAAATCACAAAACGAGGACAAACACTTATCCCGACAAAGTAAAAGCTATACAGAATATGCCAGCACCAAAAAATGAAAAAGAAGTAAGAGGGTTCCTCGGGAGATTGAACTATATAGCCAGGTTCATTTCTCATCTCACAGCTATTTGTAAACCCATCTTCAAATTGCTGCGTAAGAATCAAAATGTCCGATGGGATGCTAATTGCCAGGAAGCCTTTGAAAAAAATTAGACAATACCTCCAAGAGCCACCAATCCTTATCCCTCCAGTGCCTGGGAGGCCACTCATTATGTACTTGACGGTGCTGGAAGGATCCATGGGTTGTGTGCTCGGGCAGCAGGATGAAACAAGACGTAAAGAGCACGCCATCTATTATCTGAGTAAAAAGTTTACCGATTGCGAATCTAGATATTCTTTACTTGAAAAAACTTGTTGTGCGCTTGCTTGGGCTGCTCGGCGTTTGAGGCAGTATATGCTGACATACACGACCCTTCTAATATCGAAAATGGATCCGATAAAGTATATCTTTGAGAAACCATCACTCGCAGGCAGACTTGCTCGATGGCAAATGCTTCTATCTGAATATGACATTCAATATGTTACACAAAAGGCTATCAAAGGTAGCATTCTTGTGGATCATCTTGCTCATCAGCCATTAGAGGAGTACCAATCAATGAAATTTGACTTCCTTAACGAAGATGTTATGAAGCTTGATGATTATGATGGGATCGATCCAGAAGAGCGATGGACTCTTACATTTGATGGTGCCTCGAACGCTGCAGGCCATGGCATTGGGGAAGTATTGACTTCTCCACATAATATTCATACACCATTTACGGCCCGATTATGTTTCGATTGTACAAATAATGTGGCAGAATATGAGGCATGTGTAATGGGTCTAGAGGCAGCTATCGACCTTAAAATCAAGATCTTGGAAGTCTTTGGAGACTCTGCTCTGGTCATACAGGTACGAGGTGATTGGGAGATGAAACACCCCAGTTTGATTCCGTACAAAGACTACATCTTACAGCTAATACTCGCTTTTGATGAAATCACCTTTGAACATATTCCCAGAGACGAAAACCAGTTGGCCGATGCTTTAGCCACACTAGCATCCATGTTTTCAGTGAGCTTTCCGAATCAGGCGCCTAATATACGGATCCTCAGGTACAAAGAGCCGACACATGTCTTTCCTGCCCCTTGTCTCTCAACCGAGGATATGACTGATGAGAAGCCGTGGTATTACGATATGTTTGACTTGGAACGACAAATCAAAACATGAAATTTGTTGGTAAGAATAACCAGGTTATTCATTTATTCATTGCTTGCATTCATCAGAGTTCTATCCAACTTCAGATATTCATGATTGTTAAAGGTCATAATTGTGCAAATTTACAAGCCATGTTGATGTTATATAAAAAAAAAGTTACAATTCACAAAGAAAATTACAAGAGGTGACAATATTCTCTAAGCTACATAAGTCTTTTCAATTTGCTACAAGAATATCTTCAGTCATCTCCATGCGACATTGGTTCTCAAATCCCATAAACGAAGACTTATTCATATCTTCATGTTGCTGCCTTCATTACCAAACTACTGACCTTCAAGATTCCTTCTCATCGCTTTCGTTTGCTTTCATCGAGGCCATGGCACTATGCTCCCGCAACCTGCTTAACCAATTCAAACAGCCCTGCATCCGCAAAAATTGACACCATATCCAAATAAGCCCTTGCACTAGCTGATAGCCCTGCATTAGTTCAAACAAAGAAGTCAGGAAATGTACTAACAATTGACATTCATCAACCAAAAGGTCATTGTGCATACATGCATCCTCTACAAATTTAATTTCAACAAACTGCTAATAGAACTATCAAAAACCAGTTCTCCAACAGCCCTGCACATTGTCCTAACATCTCCTAACCAAGCATACTTATAACAAAAAAGGCTCACAGGAATGCATATATCTCGAACAAACTTTCATCAAACTGAATACAAGCATAATAACTAACTTCTATAACAGAAAGCCCAAACAGAATTTCGAACAAAACCTTTTCCTAACTCCAACTAATTGTCAAACAGAACTAGTAACAAACTAACAACAACTTCTAACAGAACTCTCAACTGAAACTAACTGCTAACTGATTTCCTCATTAACCAACCAAAACTAACAGTCCATAACTAACTATAACTAACCGCTAACAAACTCTCTAACAAACTTCCAACATAATAGAACAGATATAAGAAAGGAGAAGAGAGAGGACTCATGATGAGATTTCAGTAACAAAACACATCTCAAATCTAGAGGGGGGAATTCACCAGAAAAGTCAGAGAAAAATCAGATATAGGAAACTCACCAGAAAATTATCTGAGACATCTCTTTCTGATCTCTCTTTCTTCCATCATCGACCTTCACCCTCATTCTCTGATCTCTCTACTTTCCCTTCGTAATCAAACCCTCGCGAATCTCTGCTCCTTCGCTCTGAAATATCCACCATCGTTCTTTATCACCTACTGCAACCCTCATTATCTCAGACTTCAATCTCTAACCTTCATCGACACTGAATCTCCTACTGCAACACAACGACAAATCTGCACCAGAATTTCAGCTACTTCCATCAGCAGCGATTCTTTAATAATCTTCGCCAACCTGTTTCAATAATCACAAGAACATCAACGCACAACAAAAACGCAAGAACATAAGAAATTCACAGGAACAAGAAGAAGAAAATCGAGTGGTAGAAATCGAGTGATGTCGTACCTGAATTGATTTCTGAACTTCTTTTTCGACGACGGTGACTGCAAAACAGTGTCGCAGCGCCTTCGACCGGTAAGATCCGAACTTACTTTTTTGTCTTCTTCGTGACTTCTTTGTATAAGTATGTAGAGAAAAGCATGTAAATCAACGGCCTCATAGAGGCGCGGCCGGGAACCCATATTCATCCTTGTTTAGTCTGTATTCTCAGAGGCTTAGGGTTTACGTTTTTGGATAAATTAAGAACGAATAAAAGAGATGGATGAAAAAGGAGGTAGGATTTAGAACATTCGTTCATAGATGAAGAAATTAGGGTATGTGGTTTGAGATTTCCGATACAGATGGTGGCGATTATGACGATGACTCACCATCTATGAAGAACAGAGATTTGGATGAGACAAGGACGGTGAAGAGATGTGAGGCTATGGCAGAGTGAGGTAAGGCTATGGCAGAGTGAGGTAAGGCTATGGTGGAGTGAGGTGAGGCTATGGCGGAGTGAGGTGAATGACGGCGAAGGAAAGAAAGAGAAGGATGAAGACAAGGATTGGGTATTCAAGAGAAGACCAAGGGTTACTCTCCCAACCTAATGCAAAACTGCATCGTTTCATATTTAATTGTTAATTCATTATTTTGTTTTATTATTTTCTTTCTCTAAATTGTATTAATAATAGTGAATAATGTTGGAGGAAAGAAATAGATGGATATGATGTTGGGCCGAACCATACCTACCTAAGCCCAATAATGTTTTTGGTAGCTTGAAGCTTTAACTCAACAAAAAAATGCTTGTTGAGATATACGAGCTGGGTACATTACTGGGCCGAATAGCATTCCCTTAGGTATATTTCAACTTGTTTGAAGCTTAAGCTGAGGGTTACATGAAAAAAACAAAAAAGGGATTTTGCACTTTTCTGAGATGGTCCAACGCCCTATTCCTAATACACTCCCATTCTGACTTTACACCTCTGTTCCTTTTATGTTCATTTTCTTTTTTTTTCCTCTTTCATAATTTTTGTCAATAAAAGTACATGATAAAAATATAACAAAATATATAGTAGAAAACGATAGAGATATTAGAAGGCATTTTAGAAATTAATTAGGAATATATTTCTTCTTCTGCTAATTTTTTAGTCAATTTTAATCATTAATTTTATTCATTTTGTATCATGTATTTTGTTTGCAATGCTTTAGTTTGGATCGTATGCAATACTTTAATACTTGCTACCGATTTCACTTGTTTGTATAGTCTTTCATGATCCCTTAGGATATTCTGGTTCGCATTTAATCTTAGACTTCATTAAATTAAAACTGGACATTAGGATTCTAAAATCCAAGCATGCAAACATTAGGTAGAATCCCCCCAAATTCTAACTTTAGGTCTAACAACGCACGATAACATTAGGTTTAGAAGTAGGCTAGTCCCCATTTGACTTTTCTTTCTCCTTTCACATACGAATTTAAAACAAAAAACTTCTTTTTTCTTTCAAAATTCAAAACATTTTAAAACTAATGATGAGAATCATGCTTTTGCTTAGTATGGGAAATGATAAGCGGGTCTCTTCTCAATCTTATTGTTCTTTATCTCAAGTTTTAGGTGTGGTTCAATTCTCAAAGACTCCTTTCATGGCTAAGTAGAAAGACGGCTAATATCTCTCTCTTGAGGTCAACTAGTCATCATCTGCAACAAAAATACAAACCAACTCAAACCATTTGTGCGCTCGAGCACCTTTTTCTAAAAAAACTTTTCAGGTAAGGACATGATTAATTTACTTCTGTGCCAGCGCATAAGTCTCCAAAGGTCGAGCTGCGGCAGAAGGCGGAATTAACTTCGTCCATAAAAAAAATGTAAACAAACAAAAACATATGAGCCGAACTACGGTAGCTCTTGTTCCTCAAAAAGGATACGTAGGCATTGGGGTAGGGCCCAGGCGAGCATAATTTTATTTTCCCTACATTCTTTCCCCTTTCTTTTGCATGCATTCTCTCCTTAGCAGTAATAAACAGTAAGCATAGATTAAACACACCCATAAGATAGATAACAAGAGTGGATACCGTAGAGTACTACGGGCGTGTGGGGTGCTAATACCTTCCCCTCGCGTAATAGACTCCCTTACCCGATCTCTCGGTCGCAAGACCATGACTTCTCCCTTCTCAGGTTTTATCGATGTTTACCTTTCCCTACGTATGGGATAAAATACATTCAATGGCGACTTCATTGTTTGATGATTTTCAGGCCGGTTGTTTCACCTACCAAGGAAGACTGTCCTCCAGTGAAACAGAAGGTCCGCCGAATGCGCTCAGAGATGTCTGAGAAAATCAAGGCTGAAGTGATGAAACAGTTTGACGCCAGTTTTCTAGCAGTTACTTCTTACCCATAGTGGGTTGCCAACGTGGTTCCTGTGCCGAAGAAGGATGGTAAAGTTCGAATGTGTATTGACTATAGGGATCTGAATAGGGCAAGCCCCAAGGATGATTTCCCTCTACCTCATATCGACGTTTTGGTTGACAACACCGCTCAGCATAAGGTCTTCTCCTTTATGGATGGTTTCTCCGGTTACAATCAGATTAAGATGGCTCCCAAAGACATGGAGAAGACAACCTTTGTTACCTAATGGGGTACCTTTTGCTACAAGGTCATGCCGTTTGGATTGAAGAATGCTGGGGCAACGTATCAGCGCGCCATGGTCGCTTTGTTCCATGACATGATCCATCATGAGATTGAGGTATACGTTGACGACATGATTGCCAGGTCCCAAACTGAGGAAGAACATATGGACCATCTTCAGAAGCTATTTGACAGGTTGAAGTTGTACAAGCTGATATTAAACCCGAACAAGTGCACCTTCGGGGTGAGATCTGGTAAGCTGCTGGGTTTCGTCGTAAGTGATAAAGGCATTCAAGTGGATCCTGCAAAGGTGAAGGCTATACAGGAAATGCCAATTCCCCGAACAGAAAAAGAAGTTAGAGGTTTTCTGGGACGTTTGAACTATATTTCCCGATTCATCTCACACCTGACTGCCACTTGTGAACCGATCTTCAAGTTACTGAAGAAAGATCAAGTGGTAAGATGGAATGATGAATGTCAAGCCGCTTTCGAAAGGATCAAAAAGTATCTCCAAGAGCCTCCTATTCTGATGCCTCCAATTGAAGGGAGACCTTTGATCTTATACTTGACAGTACTCGATAATTCAATAGGGTGTGTGCTGGGTCAACATGACGAGGATGGTCGAAAAGAGCATGCTATTTACTACCTTAGCAAAAAGTTTACCGACTACGAGACCCGATACTCGTTGCTTGAGAAAACTTGCTGCGCTTTGGCATGGGTTGCTCGCCGGCTGAGGCAGTATATGCTGACTCACACTACTCTGTTGATATCAAAGATGGACCCAATCAAGTATATCTTTGAGAAGCCAACCTTGTCTGGAAGAATAGCAAGATGACAGATGATCTTGACTGAGTATGACATTCAATACACGACCCAAAAGGCAATCAAGGGAAGTGTGTTGGCAGATCATCTAGCACATAAGGCAGTGGATGATTACCAGTCTATGAACTTTGAATTCCCGGATGAGAACATCATGTTGGTAACTGATTGTGAGACACCTGAACCGGATGAAGGACCTGAGGAAGGATCCCGATGGTCTGTGTACTTTGATGGAGCTTCGAACTCTTTGGGTAATGGCATTGGCGCCGTGATCATATCTCCTGAAGGCTCTCATACTCCGTTCATCGCCGGACTATGTTTCAACTGCACCAACAATATGGCGGAGTATGAAGCGTGCATCATGGGTCTTCGAGCAGCTATTGACCTAAGGATTAAGTTCTTAAGTGTTTTCGGAGATTCTTCTCTCGTGATCAGCCAGATCAAAGGAGGGTGGGATACGAAACACCCTAATCTTATTCCTTACAAGGAGTATGTGTTTACTTTGCTTACACACTTCGAGGAGATAACCTTTGAACACTTCCCTAGAGAGGAGAATTAGTTGGCGGACGCGCTGGCTACGATGTCTTTTATGTTCAAGGTCAGATGGGACAATGAAGCTCCCCAGATTACCATTGAGAGGTTGGATGAACTTGCACATTGCTATGACATTGAGACTGAAGAGGTAATGGATAAACCCTGGTTTCATGAGGTGAAGAGGTATCTTGAAGCTCAGAAGTACCTCGAGGGTGCATCTGTTAATGATAAGAAATTCTTGAGGAGGTTCGCGGAGAAGTTCTTCATCAGCAATGGTATTCTCTAAAAGCGTAACCATGATTCAACCTTACTACGATGTGTGGATAAGAACGAAGCAGAAAGGATTATGGTAGAGTTGCACGAAGGTACTTTCGGGACTCATTCCAGTGGACACACCATGGCAAAGAAAATCCTACGGGCAGGATATTTTTGTTCCACAATGGAAGCCGACTGTTATCAGCATTCTCGGACTTGTCATAAGTGCCAAGTCTATGCTAATAAGGTGCACATACCCCCAGTTCCTCTGAACATCTTGACAACACCTTGGCCTTTTGCAATGTGGGGCATTGACATGATCGGCGATATCAGACCTACAGCGTCCAACGGGCATCGTTTCATCCTTGTAGCTATTGGTTACTTTACAAAGTGGGTTGAAGCACTTCCTTTGCTACCGTAACCAAGAACGTCGTGGCACGGTTTATTCGGCACAATCTAATTTGTCGATACGGTGTACCAGAGAGGATCATTACGGACAATGGTACAAATCTCAACAATAAGATGATCACCGAGCTCTGCAAGCAGTTCAAGATACAACAACACAACTCTTCTCCTTATCGGCCGAAGATGAATGGGGCTGTAGAAGCGGCTAATAAGAACATAAAGAAGATTGTGCAGAAGATGATGGTAACGTACAAAGACTGGCACGAGATGTTACCATTTTCTATCCATGGGTACCGTACCTCAGCGCGGACATCAACAGGGGCAACTCCCTATTCCTTGGTGTGATCGGTGGAAATAGAACTGACTGTTTAAAGCTGGTTTCGCGAAATGTCGCGGTAAGCAAGAGTCGCCACCGTCTTTTATGTTCTCCAACATGGAAAGGACAAAAGCACAGCAAAATTCCTTATGAGAATGTTTCTCGGTTCGGGAGGTAGATTTATAGAAAGGGAAGGTGTTAGCACCCTTTCTATCCGTGGTTATCCACGGGCTCTTAGGTACTTGCTCTTA